TATATATATATATATATATATATATAGTATGTATGATTTTAGAACCGTTGTTCTTCTTGTGCTGCTTGTGGGAATTCTAGAAGTGGGGATCACTAGTTGAATAATGAGGAGCTACAATTAGGGCAAATAGAATGAATTTTCTATTAATATTTGAAGAATTTGTCTATGTTGCGGTTCCATCAGTTTGTAAAAATCCAGGTCTGGACCTGGTTATGTAATTTTAGAGTTTACTCAATCAGAACCTTAAGTTTTACTATGAGGAAGTATGAAGGGAGACCAAAGTTGTGTTTATGACATGTTATGGAAATATGCGGTCTAGAGGCAATCAATAGTTCAACCTTGAAGTTATAATCAGAAGGACCAAGAAGTCAAGTTCATCAACACTTGAAAAGCATTTGTTTGTTGACGTCCTCTTTTTGCCATACTTTGCTTTTGTTTTCGAGCCTAATGTTTCTTGATCTGGACATGTAGTGGCAACAAATACGGATACTCTTGCCAAGGTTATTGATGGGAAGTTGGTCTCAAAGCAAATAAAAGATGAAGTTGCTGGGGAAGTAGCCGGTATGAAGGAAGCAATTGGTGTCGTTCCTGGTTTGGCAGTCATTCTTGTGGGCTCAAGGAAGGATTCTCAAACTTATGTCCGCAATAAGAAGAAGGCTTGTGAAGCAGTGGGTATAAAATCTTATGAAGTTAATTTGCCTGAGGACAGCACAGAGGAAGAAGTGATTAAGCATATTTTAGAATTCAACAATGATCCATCAGTTCATGGGATTCTTGTTCAGTTGCCTCTCCCTCGTGTATGATTTCTTTAACTAGTGCTTTGCTAAATTACAGATTTTTTATATCGTTTCCTGTTTGTATGTGAATGCATATGCCAAAGATATCTTTTATTGGACTAATAAAATGCTACGTCTTTTTTATTTGGTTTGATGGAATTATTATCTCAACATGCAAACACCAGTAAATTCAAAATAGATGCTATGGGATTTATTTATCTTCATATAGTGTTCGTGCCTAGTGTATGTTCTTCTTACCAAGTGTTTCATCAGGTACAAATTATTTTATATCATTTTATCTTTCTATGCAAATGCACTTGCTGAAGATATCTTACATTGCACCAAATTAATGTTACTCTTTTTTTTTTTTTCTCCTTTGGTTGGATGGAATTATTATTTCAACATGCACAAAGCAGCTGTAGTAGATGCTAAAAAGATGCTTGATATTTGTTTATCTTTAGCTTTCGTGGCTCTTTATTGATGTGGAATGTGCTCTTCTCTTGTGGAATTTCATTTAAATCCTATCCATCTTTTGAACTATACTCATTTTATCTCGTTCAGTAACTCAAAATGTCAAGAGCATTGTAGGGTAGGCTGTTTCTTACAACATCGGGAAATTAGTACGAGCATATGTGTGCTAAGATCAGTCTGGAGCATAAGCAAGCCATATATTTCTCTTTTTGTTATATGTAAGAATTTGGATGCCTGATGCTTTATCTTGTTCTCAATTGGTCTTGAATTTGTGCTTTGTTTTTTTTTTACTAAAAAGACTTAGGAGAAACACTGTATTTTGCAGCATATGAATGAGGAGAACATTTTGAATGCTGTTAATATTGAGAAAGATGTGGATGGTTTCCATCCGTTGAATATTGGTCGTCTTGCTATGCAAGGTAGGGACCCCTTGTTTGTTCCTTGTACTCCTAAGGGATGCATGGAATTATTATACAGGCATGGAGTTGAAATCAAGGGGAAGAGAGCTGTTGTTATCGGCAGGAGCAATATTGTTGGAATGCCTGCTGCATTGCTGCTGCAAGTACTACTCTTTACATCAATCTTGCATTACTGTAGAAGATCCTGACCGTTTGTTGTTTAAGGACCTCTACTCTATGCCTTGTGCTAATTAGGCTTTCATGACTTCAACAGAAAGCAAATGCAACCGTCAGCATAGTCCACTCTCATACTAAAAATCCTGAGGAAGTTACAAGACAAGCGGATATTGTGATTTCAGCTGCTGGGGTTGCCAACTTGGTAAGAGGGAGCTGGATAAAGCCAGGGGCAGTCGTGATAGATGTCGGAATAAATCCAGTTGATGTAAGATGCTTCCTTTTTGTATCATCATTTATGCTTCCTTATAATCTAGAAATGTGTTCCTACATTTGCAGCAATTTGATAGTGCTTATGTATACACTACTGATATTTGAACTTGGGAATGATAGCGTTGTTATTTCCATGTAAACTATCATGTTTTCGTTTGCGGCATGATTTTCTTACCTCTTTATTCCTAATGTCCACAACGAAGAATATAACTGTTTTCTAGTCTTTTATGTAAACATTTAATAATTAGCCATGCAATCTTATCAACGTGTCATGTTCCACACTACTTTCTATAGGCTTTACAAGTACCAGCTGTGATTATCAATGTCTGCAGCACTTTTGATGGCAAAACATAGTATCATGTCACTTGATCTCCTAGAAGTGGGCCAATCTTACCAGTCATTCTGGATTCACATCAGAATATGAATAGATGTCTTTTGTATAGTGTGTACATACTGAAGTGTACTTGATCAATTCCTGTATGTGTTAGATGAAGCAAAATTCTTTTCTTGTGCCGATTAAACATGTATTCAAGTTCAGTCAGATTCAGCCTGGAGTGATTGGATTTATACACACATGAACACATGCCCAACAAACATTTATGAGCAATAAATGAACACTGGGTATAACAGTTATTGGAAAGTCCCCATTTGGTGCTCAGCATGATCTAAGAAACTGGGCCGTAACTCCAGATAGCTCTCTTAGGAAGTGTGAGGCTTTGGTATCGAGGGAACCATGTGTATTATACAGACATCTGAAATGCGTAGCTTACATATCTACTGTGTATTTTCTGGAAATTTACTCCTTGTTTTGCTTCTATCGTTTACCTTACACGATGGAGGAAATTCTTTTCTTTGTTTTATCTTATTTCGTTGTGCATAGGCAACATTACAAACATAGGTGTAGTTTTGGTTGCTGCCATCAAACATTATTACACTTTAACATTTATCTTTTGCTTTTGATACGAGTGTCTGCTACTCAGTGAAGTTTCTTGTAATGCTTTTGGAATTAAAACCAAGTCTTTACCTCTTTCATGCACACGATATTCTTGATCAACCAAGTATTTCTTTTCCAAGGAAAATGCTTGAAGTATGTGCCTCATGCATAATCATGTTTGAAATCCAATGTTCTTGATACTTGGTAAAACCAGAGTACTTAATTCGATATCTCTGTTATGTGTGCGCACACATACATGAGAAATGTGGATACATGCTTTTGACTGTACTTACGAGAAATGTGGATCTTATGATGATTATTGTGATTATTTCCTTTATTCTCTCAACACGTATTAGGTTGGATCTTTCGTGTGATACTCGTACATGTGGAGAAGCATTATCTTACTAGGTGGTGGACTCAATTGTTTCTTCTGATCATTTCAGGATGCAGAAAGCCCTCGAGGTTATCGGCTGGTTGGTGATGTCTGCTACGAAGAGGCTTGTACGGAAGCTTCCGCTATCACCCCAGTTCCTGGTGGAGTTGGTCCGATGACAATCGCCATGCTTTTATCCAACACACTTGAATCTGCCAAAAGGATACACAATTTCAAGTGACACAACTTCATGCCCTCTGATCGACCTTCGCGAACTACACTTCTCATGGAGGTTTTCCTTTAACTTATTTCTTTTTTATAACACGGACTCGATCCTATAGGATAAAATAACAAGAAACATGGCGTTTTGATCTTTACTTTTCCTCCATTTGTTGTTGATTTGGTGTTGATTGATGTTGCAGTTACCAAGTTGTCACAAAGCCATCCCTATCCTTGCTGCGGTCGCCCGTCTCCTTTCCCTCTCTCACAGTCTCACCCGTAGCCTTCGCTCCGCCGCCCTCTCGTCCTTCTCTTGTTTCCTTCTGTTGGCGTCACCTTCTCTTGGCCGTCCTCCCATCCTTTGGTCGCCTTCCATCATCTACTTGAGTTTCTCATTTTCGAATCTCAATTTTACTTATCGTTTTGATACTTTGATCAGATTATCATTACATTTTTTTTTGGGGGGGTTGCATCTTTTATTGATTCAAGGACTCCGTCATTGAATTGTATTTTACTGCAAGTGGTACGTTAAATTAACCTTTGTTCAGGACCGTACCTTTCTTCTGCATGCCCGTCCAATCTGCTTGAGTTATATTAAGATTTACGTAGCTATTCTAGTTAATATTTTAGATTCAGATATTTATATAATTGGTCAGATTGTATTAACCCAGTGGCAGAGAGAGAGAGAGAGACTGGGGAGATAGCAGACCTTTATGCATATGGCTGAGGAAGAGAGAGAGAGAGAGAGAGAGAGAGCAGGCCTTTATGCAGATGGCAGAGGAGGATGAATGCATTACTGATGCACTGCAGCTTCATCTCCTCGTCGAGAAGAAGGAAAGGTCAAAGATAGACATGATTGATATGGTCAGGTACACGGCCCCGACTACTAGAAATTTCAACTTGTGTGTCGACCGACGCCCGTTCGATTCCAATTTGGATTCAACCGAAACGAGGGGTGCATTCGAATATTTTTGGCCCATTGTTTACTTCAGACGGACAACACGACACGGTGGAGTGTTGCTTTCGGAATTATAAGCGATCAGCATGCGACCACGTTGTTTTGGGTTGACTCGTCGAGCCCGTCGGTCTTAAATATCTGCCACGCTCAAATGCTGAGCCACATGTTTCTTTCCAGTGTGCTGAAAACACGTTTTCGGCATTTTGTGTTAGAAAAAATAATTTTAAAAAACAAATTTTCAAGAACTAGTTTTTAAGTACCTATCTTTGATTTGAATTTGAATTTGGATGATACTAACTAAAAAGAACTCAACTATAAAAGTTAGTTTTGTGTAATTAGATCTCCAAAACTCATACCCTAAAAGACGAACATCAATATTTTATATTTGATATTAAATGTGACGTTTTTCAGTTTATGATAATATTATATTTAGTTGTGATGTATGTGTTAAAATGGTCCACTTTTACTTGTATTCTCGTTTTGATGTGGGAGTAATGTGAGCTAATTATAAATAATGATATTGGTCCTCATTTCTTTTTACATCGTCGATTCTATTGATGAAAATACCATAAATGTTCAGTCATAAATTAAAGTGAGATAAAGCGATTACGTACTCGATGATAAATTTTACGGTATTTATCAATAAAATATAGTTAAATATTTTATTTTTATAATTATAAAAATCTTAAAATAATTTTTAAAAATATGGATATCTGAATGTAACAGATAATTAATTATAAAAAATAATATGTAATTAATCTGTACTGACATGAAAATATCCTTATTTGTAGGGTCATGGATGTGATCGTGAATGGTTACGATGCATTTGTTTCGGTTCGGAAAAATATGTCGATGCAGTAAATGCGATGATGTGATTGATGGAGATCCATATATTAGGTTTGGATTGGAGTAAAACGTTGTTGGCCTTATACAATGTGTATAAGTGGAGCAACGTTGAACGGTATCAATTTTTTGTTTGTCTACTAGCAAGAAATATCGCTACATCAACAAAGATGATAAGTAGCTTCACACGCAAAAAACAACTGAAGCTCGCATCAATCCCCTCAGAAAATGCCTACCACTTAAAGTCGGAGATTGTATCGCGAAGCACAACGAATGAAGAGAAACTGCCCGCTTTGATTGACGTCGACGAATCTGTGGATCGTATTCGTGAAGGCTTTCCTTCCTACGCACCGATGATGCTTTGACGTCAATCTCTTTACTCAGTCGTAAGGAAGGAGACGACCACCGAAACCATCTCGCGCACGTATTCCTTGTCCGCCTCTTTCAGCAAACTCTGTTTGGCTTTCACAGTTCAAATCTGCGTTGATAACCTCTTACCATAACAGTCGTAAACGACGAGCCACTGCCGAAGACGCACACGCCGTTTTGGTTAACGGTAATACCGCGCGCTATTTTAAGTAGCACACTCCCTCCCCCCATCTTTTGTTGATTCGAACCTTTTCTTGGAGTTTGTTAGAGTGGAGAGGAGAGAGAGAGAGAGAGAGAGAGGCGGATGGGGGATTGGAGAACGGGATGGGAGGGGAGGGGAGTGGGGAGGTGGTTGGGGTTCGTGACGGCGGTGTGGGTCCAGTGTATCTCCGGCAACAACTACACTTTCTCCAACTACTCCGACGCGCTCAAGAGCCTGATGGGCCTCACCCAGCTCCAGCTCAACAACCTGTCCGTCGCCAAGGACATCGGAAAGGCCTTCGGACTCATCGCGGGCCTCGCCTCAGACCGCCTTCCCACCCCGGTCATCCTCCTCATCGGCTCCGTCGAGGGCCTCGTCGGCTACGGCGCCCAGTGGCTGGTCGTCCGACAATCCATCCGCCCCCTGCCCTATTGGCAGGTCTGCCGTCCTGGCCTCTCTCTCTCGTTTGATGTCGGCGGAGGCATTTCGCCGAACAGGTAGTGAGTGCGTACGTGTTTCTTGAGTGGGTTTCTCGGTGCCTCGCAGATGTGCGTCTTCTTGTGCATGGGCGGCAACAGCACGACGTGGATGAACACCGCGGTGCTGGTGACCTGCATCCGCAACTTCCGACGGAACCGCGGGCCGGTGTCGGGGATCCTCAAGGGCTACGTCGGGCTCAGCACCGCCATCTTCACCGATATCTGCTCCGCCTTGTTCGCCGACAGCCCCGCCGCGTTCCTCCTCATGCTCGCGGTCGTCCCCGCCGCGGTTTGCACCGCGGCGATGTTCTTCCTCCGCGAATCGCCGCCTGCCGGAGACGACTCGGCGGCGGACCTCGACGGCGCCGAGGCTAAGTACTTCGGGGTCATCAACGCGATGGCGGTGGTGATCGCGGTTTACCTCCTGGCCTTCGACCTCACGGGCCGCCACGGCGCGCTCGTGTCCAGGCTCTTCGCGGCGGGGCTCCTCGTGCTACTGGCGGCGCCGGCAGCGGTGCCGATCCACATAAGCCTGAAGGCGAGGTGCAGGCAGCGGGGTGGCGCGTCGGAGGACGGCGGGGTCAGCGAGGCGCCGCTGCTGGCCGAGGAGGCGGCAGAGGGGGGAGCGAAAAACGGCGGAGAGATGAGCAACCGTGAGGATGAGGCGGAGGGTAAGGGGAGGCCGGAGATCGGGGAGGACCACACGATAGTGGAGGCCGTGAAGACGGTGGACTTCTGGGTGCTCTTCTCCTCGTTCCTGTGCGGCGTGGGGACGGGTATGGCGGTGATGAATAACATGGGTCAGATGGGGCTGGCCTTGGGCTACACCGACGTCTCTATCTTCGTCTCCATGCTCAGCATCTGGGGCTTCTTCGGCCGCATCACCTCCGGAACCATCTCCGAGTACTTCATCAAGTACACACCGCTTCCCACTCTCCTTCCATCAAATGCCTTTCCTTCTTCTCTTTACGTTTATTAGTAGCATCGTTACTGATTACGGTTCGTAATTGGAAGGTGATTGATTGTTAGGGTTGGTCGGGCGAAGGAAGAAGGAAGATTTATTAGAACTGAAGACAAAACAAAGGGAAAAAGATCTCTTAATTTTGTGTGGGCAAAATGATGATAATCGAGATTTTTATGAACTAAATTAATTGATATCGTCTCGATGTTTTGATTTTGATGGACAAAATAGGCGAAGAAGGCGAAAGCAGTGACCGTTCTTTTACGGGTAACCAAGTCATATTTGGTGGGTTTGGTTGGATGTTTCTTTTGTTCTTTTTATCTTTTAGACTTCACAGACAAATAGTTGTTGATTAATAACCTAGTGCAGACTAGTAGTTCGGATTAGTAGGCTTAACGTGCGGGATGCGCTGACTTTAAACCTTTAGAGACCAACAACCGCCGACCGTGGGAACACCAGTCACATTCTTTCTATTAAGTTCCTTGGAAGAGAAGTCTCCGAGGAAAAGAACTGCGAAGCGTGGGATCGAGGAACGGACGACGTAAGCGGCACGACCTGAGGCGTTCTGCCGTCGAGGATCGTGCGATTTACGTCATTTTAGATATGGTAAACGTTAGAGCAGCCAAGCACGGATCGTGTGGCTTGCCATTGTAGATAGATATGGTGAGCATTAGATGAGAGAGCCAAAAGATGCAGATGCTATTTTTTTCTTGGTTTATTATGCCTCTGCAGGCACACTTCATACGAGTACCGTCTACATGATGTAATGGTAGCACGCGTGATTTGATCTTTTGCTCATAACCTTTTGAACTTTTTGTTTTTTTGTTTTACTATTGTTTATGTGCTTAGTTATATTAGATGGTACGTCTTTCGTCAAATATTTGATACAAAACCTACGATGGGTGCATAGATATGCTCATACTGATCCAACTTTTGTTTTGGGTAACGCAGGGAGCATGCAACCCCGAGGCCCCTGTGGAATGCAGCCTCACAGATCCTGATGGCCGTGGGCTATGTCGTCATGGCTCTGGCCGTTCCCGGGTCGCTCTACATCGGTTCGGTCGTGGTGGGGTTGTGTTACGGCGTCCGTCTCGCCGTCTCAGTGCCCACAGCATCAGAGCTGTTCGGCTTGAAGTACTATGGCCTCATCTACAACATCCTCATACTCAATCTTCCGCTCGGCTCCTTCCTCTTCTCCGGTCTCCTTGCTGGCCTCCTTTACGATGCTCAGGCGACCAAGACGGAAGGTGGGGCCAACACCTGCGTCGGAGCCCATTGCTACAGGATGGTGTTTGGGATCATGGCCCTCGCATGCATCGTCGGTTTCGGATTGGACGTGGTGTTGGCATTTAGGACGAAGAAGTTGTACCGACAGATCCAGTCGAGCAAGAGAACGAGGAAAGCAGCGAGTCGGCATCGGATCACCAAAGGCTGATGACGAGTGCTTTTCTCTTCTTTCCTTACTGTTCCCTGGTGGTGCTAATATGTGTGTACCGGATGTCAACTTCTCTTTTACCACGAGGCCCGTAAGTAAGCATTGTAGCCGTCGGTTTTAAGATGCAACATCATTACTGTAAGCAGAAGAGAAAGGAACGAACACGACCTGTTTTTAATAGCGCTTTTTTGTAAGCACAAGCAGCTGCTTACTGTATAAATAATAAAACAAATGCCTCGTGCATGTGTTTTTTTTTAATTTTTTTTTAATTTTAAAGAAACCGTCTTAGCTACTGACTGAAAAAGAGTCGATACAAAATGATTCGGGGATGATGTTGTTAAGCTTATCAACACCGCAATGAGTAGTTACAAAATTGATTCGAGCTTAAATTATTAGCCAGTGAATGGCTAGCTATCCATTAGATTAGATTAACGATCTGACACAAGATTTTTCACCATTCATGGCACCTCCTTCTTTGTCTATAAGGATGTCAGGGCTTGTAAACAATCAGTTCTGACTTGCAAGTTCTCTTGTTAGACTCGAATCAGATCAACAAGGATAACTTTACATTCTGCCTGTAGCAGTAGATATGCTCTCTACTTCCGGCAGTTCTGATGGTGTTATCAGTGACGTTGCTTTGGTGAAATATTCACATTTGGCGACCATAAGCTATCTTCACTTGGGACCTACAACTGTTTGCTCGCTCGCATTGACTTCACGTGCACAATAGAAACAGACGAATTAAGGCTATTACTTCGATGATATCATATATATATATATATATATATATATAAGGAAAAACACATTGCAACTTGTTCTATCACAATGTTCCTCGACATTTAATATATATAGTATATAGTCATAAATATCCTACTACAACAGCATCGAAAGAGAACTTGTGATGAATGTTCTCGGACCAACCTGGAAACCAAAACAGTCACGCACCTTTGACTAGTGTAACTTCAGAAATGTAACCATGCTGACGAGAGCAGTTTGAACGGGACGAGCTCTCTGTCCTGTAAGAGGCATGCTTGTAAACAAACAAAATACATATCTAAAACCCACAAAAAAAATGCTCGCAAAACTTGAGATGTACAAATGGAAATTTTTAAATTAAATTTAAAAAGAAAAAACCAACCAACCAAGCGATCAAACAGAGTCGAGTGAACCATAAAGATATTACCAAATACCATAGATTAACTTCTAATGTTTGAGATGTTTTTTAACTTTACACCACCACGCAAAAGCTATAAAAGACACCAAATAGATAGGGAAACAGAACAGGTGATAGAAGATGGGGGAAATTATTTTTCTCAAAAGACTATCACAAAATAATTATGAGAAAGGATAATTACATATATGCAACTTGACACTGATGTACGGGATCCAAGATCCATATAGAGCCCAGACAGAAAGAGGTGGGACATATATGCGCATCAAATAAGGTATCCTCATACACAATACAAGGGACTGACTGCCACCTCTCCGAGTGGCTCTCACCACCCATCTCAGTCCCTCCTTTACTTCCAAACTATAAACCAGTAACAAACAACATGGCCAAGCAGATCAAATTTTAAATGCTTTCCTACCTCAGGAAATTGATAATAACCCAATAAAAAACCCAACAGTATGAATTGCATAGTAGATCAGGAATTTCATGAAATGGAAAACCTTTTACTTGTTCAAATTACCTTACAAATACAGGAAACAATGTCAGAAGCAAGGAAAAAACATACAAGATGTTTCGATGCTTATGCTTCATATGAGTTGTTCCTCGCATCTAGCAGGGTTAGAGTGGTCAAAATTGTTTAGCACGCCTAAAATTTCATGAAATAGCTTATGGCTTATAACAACAAAAAGAAAGGATTTCATACATACAACTGATGAACCTAAAAGGTACATATAGCACATGCTATAAACTGATGTAGAACAGATAGTATTAGGCTCTAGATTTCAGTTTCATTATTATTTAAATTTAGTTTAGTGAGTTTCTGTTCAGATTATTTTGATAATGGAGTAATTAATATGTTGCCTTTTACGATATAATTTAAGGAGTTTATCAATCATTGAAAACTGTACACATTGCTGTATTATGAAGAGTACGCCACAGCAATAAAAAAATAAATTAGAAAATCTTGCTCAGTATCCAGATATGGTAGTTAACTTGATAATATTTGCGTGCCTTCTGATAGTCTACGTAGAGGATCTGATTGGCTCATTAGATAGAAGATAGTGTAAATAGAGCTTGTCGGTAGCAATTGTCTGAGAACAAAAATTTGTGACTCGATGGGTTCCCCTGGAAGACAGTTCCAATTCTTGTATAATAAAAAGCTCAATTCATGTTGAGAGCCTCATCTTTCTAAAACCATCAACTCACACCACTGCAACATGCGAGGAGACTAAAAACTAGAAATAAACCTTCCAGGTAGTGGTTAAGACTTGAAAGAGGTCTCAAGCAAGGATTCATCCAGTGGTAAAGATGACTGAAAAACATGGGACATATGATGCTAGAGATTGGAAAGCATAGATGGATATAGTAATTGCATTTGCAGGTGAAGTCAAGCAAAAGAATAGCTGAAACTGTCAATTGGCAGTCAGCGTAAGTTTGATCAGAGGGTGATCCATGGATGCCAATGGCAGGAGTGCACTTTTTGACTTATACAGGCTTTTCTCGAGTCTAACCAGAATGTGCATTGAGAAGGAAGTGTTCTGCAATAAAATTTATATTGAAGGAAGTTATCTAAAAACGTTCCTGTGGTCTTAAAAATCTAAAGACCATTGGTTGGAAAACATTCGAAGACTCATTTATATGGTTGGATCTATTTTAGTATAGGACAAGAAAGGAAGAACCATTACAAATATACATGGTAGACAAGCAGCAGCTCTCGCAAAGAAACACAAGTCTTTGACTTTAACAAACATACCATAAAAAAAGAACTGTGGATAACAAAATGAAACAAGCAGACTGATTACATTGGAGGAAAATAAGGAAAAGTTGACTTTAAACAGCAAAAGGCACAGATGGTTTCTATTGAATATTTTGGTGAGACCCACAAAGGATACTTGCCGAAGTTTGAGATTCCTAGTCATTGCTACTAAACTAGTCAAATTTTGAAATGACTATTAAAAAACAAACAATCAAAGTACAAATATATACTAAAGCCAGAAAAGAAGAATCCATAATACTAGCCTAAAGAAATTTGACTTTTGAGACAAAGCAAACTGCACAATGTTGTGTGACTCCATTGAAGCAACAAGTACCATCATATTGAGAAGAATCAGTGTAATATCCTACCTGTTAGCTATTTCAACCTCTTTTCTCGTAGTTAACAACTTATGAAGTCCTAGCTGCTGAGTTAACATGCACTTATAACATGACACCCACAACAAAAGAATGGATTCCAAGAGGAGATCAGTATAAACATTTATTGTTTGTTCTGATGATACCTCCACAGCATAGCCAAGTTGGAGAAAAAGCATTAGCGGTCCAAGTGTTTTTTCTTTTTTCTTTCCTAAAATGACTTGTTTTTCTTTCTTTTCTAAATAAGTAACTCTAGGCAGACCTGAAATAAAGATATATTAGATCTTTATGACGTGTGTATAGCCAATTAAATGTTACATGGAACAGAGACCTATAAATGAATAAAATTTATTTTATGCCAGAAACAGATGAAAGAAAATAACTGCAGAAAGTTTCCATCAGTCTAGGACCAGATGCTCTACAGCAACTTAGGATATAATTTTGGATCAATAAAATATTAATAATATTTGTTCTTCATAGATCAAGGTCAATGGTTCTTGTACGTACCTTGCTTGAAAAGTATGCGACCAGCATATACAGTGTCCGTGACACCTCAAATGGAACAAGAAGTCATCACATTATTCCACTGAGGACATGCAACCAAAGAAAGGGATGAAAAAGATCAGAGTTCAACTTTGGTTTTAACTGAAGTTCTTGGAGATGGTTATAAGTCTTACCTTTCAGTTTCAGGATTACAGTAAGAAGATGTCTTTAAATGGTGCTGGCCTATTCCAGAAACCTGCACTACTGAAGGATCATTGTCATCATGACCTCTGGCTTCCTCCTAACAATCAAGCCAACAACCAGAGTTAGCAGCCCACCACAAGAATCAATTAGAAGAGAAGTTTTTCCTTCATTCGCTTACACCAGATTTTTCTCCCATCCATCCAGGAATACTCTTAGTAAGAAGACTGATATACTTTTCCATGGCAGCATCTGGATTCATGTTCCCCAGACTCTGCCAAGCATGCCTAGCAATAGGTAGGGTGACATAAGATACATACATAAGCTTTTGATAATTAGATATGTAGTTATATCTGAGCTTTTGACCTCTCATCAGTCTGCAGTTGCCAGAGTTTCTAGAAAATAGAAGCATGACAAAGCTAATTTCTGAAACTAAGAAAACACTAGGGCTACAGTTCACTCACAACTTTGATTCCCTGAACAAGAATATTAAAACCCAGAAAATAACCATCGAGAGAATGAACATGCAAAAGGTAAGGAAAAAAATAAAAGCTAGCATCCGTGAACACTCAAGCAGCGAGAGTATCCTACTTGAGGGGTAGATTGATTGGCTATTCAGTAACATCGCATCATTAAGAAGCGAATATCCTCCACGATCAACAGGCAACATTTCTGACAGTCAAGATTGCCACCTTTTGGCCAAACATGATTCCCAATATTAAGCATTATAATCTTGCAGCATTTTTCAATTTCATGGCTTCCATATTAGATAACCCTCAAGAGATCACCTATTAGATTTCAAAATGGAGACAACCATAAACAAAAATAAGAAGACTCCAGGAAACTTCTATGACAATATATGAATCTATCATCACCCCTCTAAGTTAGTGTCAAAGTTTGTAGCCGATGCATATATATAAGCAAATGACGAACTTGAATTAATTTGAAAGGTTATTCCTACCCGTGAAAACATATCTTATCAGTTGTGGTTCTCATGCATCCAAAGCACCACTGAAGTTCCTCTAAACTCAATGCACAATTTATTTCACCTGAGAATGGTTGGTGCTTATTCCAAGCTTCTAAGGTTTGACCTTGGAATATGGCTTTTGTCAACCAAGATTTCATCCGATGTTCAGCTTGTTTCAAGTTCGGCAAGGTGAACCCATGTCAGAGGTCTCAGAATCATGATCTGGTTTTGATTGTGTTACTGATCTGAAGAAAATATTCTCAGGCATTAACCTTTATGTTATTAAGCAAATTTTATTGATAAGTAAGAGAATGCATTTGTCTACACAATAATTTTTTGTGCTTTTTCAGTGTTCATGAAACCAAATAAGTGATAGATTATCATGTATACGAGACACGAAGAAGCCTCAGGCTGCCAAGGTGTTGTAATAAAGTACAGGTATTGTTCTAATTTCTAAATAGTGTCACACAAACAGATGAATGAACCCCCATCATACAAATTATAAAAGTTTTTCAATATCTCTTTACTTACAAACTTGACCTCCAGATAAGGACATCCCCATCCACACTGATCACCTATTGACATTCTTGGTGAAATAGGTCAGATGACACATGGAACACATGAAAATTTTCATTTCCAAATGTTTCGTGAGCATTGCCATGTGTTCATAATCATCGTAGTAGTAGTATCAGGTCTTAGGTGGAAGCTATGACAGGTTCTTAATCGCTTAATTGGTTGGGCTAGCAAGCTGCTGGGCAAGTCACACGCAAGGCTTCCTAGCACATCTCTAACTCTTGATTCTAAGCGGTTAAGAATCTTTTTTATTTTTTTTAGGAGCATATATGCAGGGATGTATATAACTAAATCAACAGAGGATGGTTACTTTTTTTTTTCTCATAATCATTTATACACGGTTCTGTTTTAATCCTAAAGGCATTTATTCTCCAAAATGTTCCACAACACTTCCAGCCACAAGTTTTAAGTATTTTAATTAATCTATGGTTATTTAAAATTTTCGGTCTTATTGTCCAAATTTCCCATAAATAGACTGAAGACAATTGAAAACTTCAATCACTGCTGAATCAAGTGAAGTTTTGCGATCGGCCAACAATTTTCAGGAAAGTAAAAACCAAGGTTCTTGAGTACTGATTTAGTACTGATTCAGGAAACTTCTTGGAAAGGTATGGTTTCAATATATTAGGTAAAATATCACCTGTAATGCACAGTATCGTAAAGAAAATAATTAAAAGATGAATAATGACTGGTTCCGAGCTAGATGGTCTAAAAGCAATCCTTGGTCAGACTTATCAATTAATACATACTGATTCAACCAGTATATGGAACCATGCCATGTGGCCAATAATTCATCTCCAAGGCATCAAGAAACCAACAGAAATCCTGATCATTTGACAGGTTTTTGCTGATGGAAAACTCTAGTGGAGTACCACTTTCATAACCTCATTTGACAGGTTACAAGTTCAGGTGGCTTATCTACATGCAATTTACAACTAGAATTGCTGCATTTATGTTCCATATGTTCAGATGACACAGTATTTTATTTCATACTTGTCAAATTGTAGCGAAAGAACTCCTAAAATCCAAAGCATAAACTTAAGACAGATGTTCGGTACTGCTCGTTGAATAATTTAACACTGCAACGATAGTAATAGAGCAAGTCAATGCAAGAAGAAATTATCAATTAGAAACATAAGGGTTCAGCTCATAGTACCATTTCGCACGAGCAGTAACCTTCAAAGCCATGGGCTGTGGCTCGTAGCATGACCCCTCGGTTGCAACCCTATGAAGCCCATACAACTGCATTTGTAACTCACTGCTCAGTTTTGACACGGCATCCCCACCTTTCTCGCTACCCACAAACTCAGTGGCAACTCCGAATAACTTCTCCAATTCGCTCCTCTCGATTCCCTCCCACTCGTCCTCCCCCTGTAGCAACGATCCACCCCTCTCCTCACTCACCGCCCTTGCGTCGCCCCTTTGTAAGGTATCTTCTCCACCCATCTCCACAACTTTCCGCACCTCTTTTCCCACATTTGGTTCAACCTCGTCCAAATCGCCACTAATTATTCCGATCCCCACTTTAGAGCCCTCTTTCTTGGACGAGGATTCATCCGCTCCAAGAATAGTATCTTGTTTCTGTAGGTCAAACCCACTAGCCGCCTTGCCACCATCCAGTATCTCCTCATCCAGTCTTTGATCTTCGACAACGCCGCTTGCACAAGCATCACCGGACGACTTCCCCGTCTCCTCCTCCTGGGCAGCACCCAAACCCATCCCAAGATCGGCGATGGCGGCGGCGGCGGTGGATTCCATCCGCCGAGGACCTGAATCGGCGGAAAGAGGGGGCGGGGCCGGCTTGTCGGCGGCTAGATCTTCGTCGTCGACGTTGTCGTCGGCGGCGGCGATCTTGCCGATGAGGAAGGCGATGATGACGGAGATGAGAGCGGTCAAGAAGAGCTCGACGTAGAACTCCATCGTCTCCTCTTAACTCCTCCCCTTCTTGGCTTCCACTCCACGGCAAATCGAAACGAAAAGGGGAAAGACGACGTCGTCTCAATGTCCGATGAGAAAACGGAGGAGGCAGACTCGAAAAAGACTGGAGGGCGGTAAGGGCATACTCACTTCAGCACGCTAACGTGTCGATCAACAACGACTCCCGCGTATAAAGTCGGGTAGGCTTCGGGTTTCGGCAGATGTCGGTATTGGCGGATGGCAATTACTTCTCGACACCCATTTATTCGGTCCCCGCGCGTCCACCAGAAAGGTACTTCGCTGGGTCCCACGTCCCCAATTGGGAACGGGAGGTGCAGAGCCGCGCACGTTGAGGGCTCAGTCCGGCGTGCGTAGCTGTCTCATCCGCCGACCTCGTAATTGGGAGAGGCGGCGGGGCCCATCAGCACACCACCTGTGGGTTTTTCTCTTTTTTTTTCCCTCCATATTTTGAGTTTCAAAAAATCAAAATAAATATGAAATAATTCTATTTTAAAATATATTTTTTAATTTTTAATACCCTAAATATTTCTTGATGGAGATTACCACATCACAAGATATTAAAGGAAAAATAAAAATAAAATAAAATAAAAGATATCATTCAGGAAAAATGAAAAAGAGTTTTTTTTTCAGATAAATCGCTCTAAAAAATATATATCAATATTTTAAATATAAAAATTACCCGATGACAGGAATTACTGTTATGGTTGCTTAGGATGCATGATTAGATTAACGAGGTTGGGGAGGAGAAAGAATCGGTTGCGATGATTTCTTTATTGGTGGGACGATGACATCCGGATGGATTAAAGAATTTAAAGATGGCGAGAAAGGGGTCGCATCTCTCTGTGGTCACATTGTTTTGGACATTAGCAGCGTATGCAGCTGACTCCTGGTTCAACTGTTGCCCACCAAATTGAGTTGAAGTACAAATTATGCTTGTGATTCGTCGGTTTACAAATGATGATTTCAGCTCTTTGAAGCTTTGAACGAAGAAATTGACTGCGGATATCGGATCTACAATCCAATCTAGTATAGTTTCTTTCAGAAGGAAACTGACCAAGAAATGACCATACTACACCATGCTTGAGCTATTTATTACCAGTACTGTACATCTTGGAAGAGAACAATGTTTCCCTACGATCGTTGATGCTCCGCCACTTCAGCTTTGTATTGAAGACGACCCAACTCCTTTTATCTTGTCCAAGGTAGTGTGTGCCTTTGTTCTGACACACCCCAAAGAGAGTGAGCTTTCCACATTTACGAGAAAGCAAACAGGAGAGTCGCAGTGACTGCTGATGGTAGTAGTACTAGTAGTAGTAGGAGGAGGAAGGAATTAGCTCTTCTCCTTGCTGGGTTCGCATCTCCGGAGGCCAAGCTTGCCAGCCAAGAGCCATCTTCCAGCACTGGTTCTGTTGTTGTCGGTGAAGGATTCATGGTGGCTTTTTGGCTGCCAAACGACAACGGTTCACGTATCGAGTGTGACACCACAAACACGCCGAAACAAATGACGTAAGGAAATACTACTCGGTAATGTGTTTCTCGTCGGAGTGACGCAACGAGCAGGAACAGAGAAGAAGGGACAGTTGAATACCTCGGGGAGGACTCGGGGCAGAAGGTGATGGAGTAACCCTGAGCGCCGGCGCAGGTGAAGGTGCTGGTGGCGTCGTCGAAGGCGTAGCTGTAGGAACGCGGGCACGCGGACTTGAACATCTGCGAGTAGGCGGACGGCCGGCACCTGTCGGGGCTGCCGTACTCGCCGCTGCAGCAGAACTCGGGCCGCCCGAAGGCCCCGCACGCGCTCCTGCACGCCGCCGAGTCCCCGTGCCCGACCTTCAGCTCCGCCGGGCACAGCCGGTTGAGGTCCGCCGCGCACCCACTGGCGGCGCACCCCTCCCGGCCGGCGGCCTCCACCAGCATCGGCAGGTTGTAGCCGTCCACGAGACTCACGTCGTAGAAGTCCCTCCCATCGCTGCCGTCGAGCGTGAACTCCGCGAGGGTCGCCGGGGGGGTGGCACCTGCGCCGTTGCACTCCACCTGCCCGGACCCGCAGTCGGCGGTGGCGCAGGAGCCGCGGCCGGCCGCGTCGAACGAGCAGCCGGTGCGGGCCCAGAAGCGGCCGGACCAGCCGGAAGGGGCCGGCAGCGTACGGCTGGAGCCGGCGGGGAGCTCGAAGCCGGTGGTCTCCAGCCTCGGGCTGCCTGAACCGGAGAGAACGCCCGGCCAGATCGTGTCGCCGCATCTATTCACGAATGTGAATGCGACACCTTCTCCTGCACACACGCATCAATCATTTACGCCACGGAAGTAGATGGATTCGATCATTAATCATCTGAAATCAAATATACCTGTCAGAGAATGGAGAAGCAGGCAGAGGAAGAAGGAAACCAAATTCTGCAACAACAAGACACGAGACATCGAGGAGATAAAGAGGAATGGGTAGTTGGACTACGGTCAAAAGGCAAGACGGAGTGCTCTGCTCTGCTCAGCTCAGCTCCGCCCATTTATACATAAAGGCCTGAAACAATACGTAGCGAAGAAGAATTCGATTCGACTTATGTCAGCCGAGCTTTTTCTTTTCTGCGGTGGAAGATTGGAACGAGGACCCAATTGTCCATCTTGCTGACTCGATCATACCATGAGATGTGAACAGTGGATGCAGTCTTGCCTGCAATTTTAAGGATGCTGGTTACTGCAGAACGTCAAGCTTTCTTCCCCTACGACTTTGACCACTTCTTTTCCCATAACGTTTTGCATGGTGGCTCAGCTGTTGTGACTGTTTGGAAGATGAGCCAAGAGGCATCGGCAGATTCTTTGTGAGGAAGCAACGGATCAAAGCAGCGATCTACAAAACATATCCATATGGCTGCCGCCGTGTAAAGCTGCATCGATTGGATAAGAGACGATCGCCAGTCCTTGCATGCTTCATGTCACTGCGCACTAGTAACCCGTGCAGAGTGCACCAGCAGCATCCGTCCTCGTTGCCCTCTCATCACGTACCGCCGGGGCACGTTGTAATCAATGCAGAGGAGAGGGCATTGATAGGCCGAGCTAAAGGCGGAGGGAGGCCCTGCAAGCTTATCTCCTTAGGGATGGAGATGGATAGGGAGGAGGGGGAGACTAAAAGCGGAGAGATGAGTTCACTGTGGGGGAAGGATAGCAAAGTTGCTGACGCCGTTGTCGAGATATAAAGGGAAAAGATCGCCAGTGTTGGATCCTGTCGGGTAAGGCCGGTTGACGGGTTGCGACCTTTTGGCGTCGGCAAGAGTCTCAGTCGTGAGTACGGTGACGACACATGGCTGATGTTTTTGTTTGTTGGATACGGACTCCTTTTGTGCATAGATCAAATGCTTTTTCTGGAAAGAGATCCTTACCATGCCAGATGAATCACATGGATAGATGCGGGTGGACATAGCAGGGCCAATTGGGACAAACAGCAAACCTGGATCAAGATCTGCCAATCACATTATGTCATGATTAGGGCTGACAGACCAGCAATAATGGTCATACTGCAAGAGTTTTGGATTCACCAACAAGCATGGCAGCATAAAGGGCAATTTATAACCATTAAATCGAGATATTGAATCCATGAATTGCTCAGACAAATCAGTGGCCTGCAACTGTTGCACCTGTTGGTAATTCAGTCTCACATTCATGATCAATACAAGTCATAATAATAACAAAAATAAGTTGACCAGTACGAAGAGATAGATACTGCATGCAGGAGTTGACCAAAGCAGAGAGGTCTGCAACTGCTGGAGATTCAATCTCACATTCATGGTCAGCACAACAGCCATTGCTAAACAAAATGGCTTTTCACTATTAACTCCTCTATGAATCCTCTTGAGAGGATGCACACAGACCAAAATTTTCACTACTAACCAAAGAGTCACAGTCACACAGACCAATCTTATATAGATAACATTCAACAAGCTTGAATGCTTTCACGATGAATGATCAAAATAAACAACGGCGCTTGGAGCGAAAATAAATCTCAAGATAGAACACAAATCAAACTACCAATACAATAAAAAAGAAATTTGCCTACAACACTCTTAAAATGTAACAGGCTGAAATAAAAAAGAAAATAAAAAGAAACTGCACTAGGCTCTAATATATGAAGTCACAGTCCTGTCGGTACAATACTCCTAAAACAAATCAATCTGCCAATACAATAAACAAAAGAACATAAAATTTAAGCGCACAAGGAATAACGAAATTAACTGACACTACCGAGAAAAATCAGAAGATCAGTCTTTATGT